ACACATCATACAACACACACACCATACACATCACACATAAATACACATCACACAACACACACACCATACACATCACACACAGATACACACACACACACACACACACACACATACATACACGCACACCGTGCCAGCAAGGTACTGATCTAATGTGAAGATCAGCAAGTATAGAAGGAGCTGAGAGGATGTCACTTGAGCTGGGCTACAGAGGACAAAGGAGGGAATGGGTGGAGAACAAGTACCCTCGCTGGCCTTCTTTGACCCTGTTAACCATTCATGTTTTTAAACAGTCACCATATGCTCCAGCTACTCTACTTCTGGGCATATCCGCAGAATGCTTGACAGCCGACCACAGAGAGCCTGGCACACCCGTGTGTCTGCTGCTGTTTACTACAGCAAAGAAACTACCCAGCCTAGGTATCCTCATCAAACAGATGGATATTATTCTGCTGTAAAGAAGAAACCCATGAAAATCTCAGAACAGGTGGAGTTTTAAAGCGTAATGTTAAGTAAGGCCGCCCGGACTCAGAGAAAACCCTCCCGCTTTCCCTCCCATGCAGACCCTGCCCTGTGGTTCTAAGTGTGTGTACAAAAGGAGCAGGCCTGGGGATAGCATTCACAAGGGGGAATGAGCAGGCACTGGGTGATGAGGAAAGACCGGGCACAGCGGAGGCATCAGAGAGGACAGAAGGCTAAGTTTCCTAACTTCAGGTCGGTCCTCATCTTTTCCCCGGGGTAGACATGTGAATGAACACGCAGCTGGTACTCAGTGTGAGACTCCACGCGAAGCTCCATGGCTTCAGCATGGCCACTCTAACCGGACAGAACTGGGAAAGCCTTGAATGGCTTTCTTAAACCGGCTCTGTGGTGTTTCTACTTATGAGTTAATTAGAACAAAGTTTTCGTTGGGTTTTTGTTTTTAACAAAATAAATGTATTTTAAGACTACGTGGAAATGAGGACATTTGCAAGATGTCTGTGCAACTGCTTAAACAATTTTAAAGCCGTGATTGACCAATTTCTCACAAATAAAGAGCAATTCAGTCCACTGCTGTTCCTGGACGGTCTCCCTGGCTTCCTCACATCTTATTTCTACCTTTTCTTTCCATTTCTCAATGTATTATTTTTCCTCTTGAGGGACTTTCTGTTTAGCTACTCTTATTTTATAAGTATCGGTGGAAATCCAATATGTTCACACATGATTCGCCCATGCAGTGTGGCCTAGCACACTACACTACATTATGTAGATTTCAGGAAAACAGAACCACGTATTACCTGATTTTGATAATGTGGTTTGGACAAAAAGTTATCCAATTAATTGAGAGTAAAATGAAGTTAAACACTTCTATTTTGCCATTTCAAGGGAACATTTGCCTGCTAGGACAGCCTTTCCAAAAATGTATTTTGGATAACAAATGTTACCTAAAAACAAGTCCTGAGGTTAAATAAATCTTTGTGAATTCTTTTGTTTGTCTTTCAAGACAGAGTTTCTCTGTGTGTAGCCCCGAATGTTGTTGAGTTCTTTCTGTAGACCAAGCTGGCCTTGAACTCACGGAGATCCACCTTCCTCTGACTCCCAATTGCTGGGATTAAAGTTGTACACCACCATCACCCGGCAATTTTGTGAATTCTTAACAAAGCCCAGACCGTGACAAAATACCAGAGAGAAGCAAACTAAAGGAAGGAAAGTTTATTGTTGCAATGATCTGTTCTGTCTCTTTAAGAAACAAGCCACGCCCACTCCCCCCCCAGTCCACTGAGGCAGGCAGGCCTTCCTTTCTGCTTGCAGCCTGAGTCCCTTCCTTTTCTGTCTCCCTCTCGAAGAGGCAGCTTCTGCCTCTCCTCTCTCTCTCTCTCTCTGTCTCTGTCTCTGTCTCTCTTTCTCTCTCCCCCTCTCTCCCTCTCTCCCTCTTTCATTTCAATTGTAGCTCAAGGTTTCAGGGGGTGTTGTCCTTTGTACCAGGAAGGTGTGGTGGGCAGTTCGGTGAGACAACGTGACAGCCACCTTGGTAGATCAATAGGACCAGAAGCAGGGCCAGGCCCTCTCCTCCAGTGACCCACCCATACCAGCAGAGTCCCCAAACAGCACCCAGCTGGGGACAAGATAGTCAAACATGTGAGCCCAGGATGGCCATTTCAAACTCAAAATAATACCAAATTTTACTGCCAAAGTTCTTACAACTCTGCCCAGTAAAAACCTATGATGTAAGTCATTATAACAGGGTCGGGTACAGAGTGTTCATCAGATGTGTTTGGTCCCAGGAAAAAAGGAAGTCGTAAGTCCTCCAGTACAAACAGCCCACAGGTCCATCTGGGCACTACTTACAGGAGTAGAAAACCCTAATGACATTTCAAAATTTTAGAAGCCAATGAAATATGATTGTAAGGTAAATTTAATTTCCCTACTGTTTATAAGTAGCTAACGAAGCAGCACAGAACAGCTTCTGAAAGACTCTAAAATAATTATTAAAATTGCTAGATATGACTATGTTTCAGTGATTATATCACACAGTTGTTCCGATCAGAAAATCATTATATACACAAAATGAGACCTAATATAGGAGATTAGTATTAAAATATTCCTGCAGTCTGTGTCTGACTGTATGGAGGAGATAGGGGAAGTAAAACACAATTGATGTGCTTCAAGTCTATGCAAAACATGGTATTTCATGATTCTACTCTATCTTGTGTGTGTTTGAGAATTCATATTCTAAAACAGTAGTTCTGCTGGGTATGTCATTTCCAGCTCTCTCTGTGCAAGTCACCCCCGGCTCCAGAGAGCATTGACCCAGTAAAGCACAAAGTTCCCCGGGCCAAACTCTTCTACTGAGTTTAAAAGATAATATAAAATGAAAAGAAGACTATCAAAACACAGAACCTAAACATGTAATAGGAGTGGGAAATCTCACACTATCACTGGGAAAAGCAAGGGAGGTAGATTTTAGTGCTCTCATGTTCCAGTGACCAGGCTAGGTCCGAGGTACTCCAGAACAGGTGACCTGCAAAGATTTAGGCTCTAACTTGTGCTGTGTGCCAGGTTGGGCAAGGCTACACAGCTTGTCACCAATCCGCCCTTCTGCTCCTGTCAACAAACTCAGCCTCAGTTCCAGCTCACCCTTCCTAATGTGCATTTCCACTCCCAATGGTGACTGTGGATGGATCAGTGTTAGCCTCAGGGTAAATGTCATCACTCAGGGTCACTCACTCAGCTTCCTTCACAGACCTCTCAGGTGACACGTTCTTAGATGCTGTCAGCCATTTACCCACTGAGCAGTGGACATTAATGTAGAGACTTAAAAAAATAGCCGGCTCCGTCACTGAACTGTGCTCAAACCGAAACATAAGTCCAAGCACAGATGGTCCATTCACAGTAGCTGGTGCACAGCCGTGATCATCCCTTTTACCCTAAGGGGATATCTGCCTTTGTCTTTGGTGGTGAGGTGTGTTTCTTGGATACAGCAGAAAGATGAACTTTGTTTTCTAATCCAAGCCGTTAGTCTGTGTCTTTTAATTAGGGAATCGAGATCATTAATGTGGAGAGTTGTCAGTAAGCAGTGTTTACTGATGCCTGTTATTTTGCTGTTATGGTGAGGGTGAAAAGATACAAGCAAGTTGAAAGTGAGAATAGATGTGGAAGATGTGAAATAAACTCCTCCACCCAAGCTGGCGTGGCAACACATGACAACCCAGACCAAGGCAAGAGGCTCAACCAGAGATGATCAATACAGTGCACAATGGTATGAGGTCAGACATTTTACACAGGCAGTGTATGGCAGAACGCTAAAGTATTTGGAACAAAAACTGACATATAGATTAAATGCATCAATCTTATGACATTATCAATAAAGCTTGGCTTTTTAGCTAGGGTGGACATCATCTAATACATCTTTATCCTGTCAGTACCACAATTTCAATAGGATGTGTAAAAATACTAACCCCACCAGGATGGCAAGCCATCCTTTCTGATGTGCCCACTGTACTTTGAATGGTCCAAATTAATGATTCTATCCAAGAAGTTTTCTCATAGAATCAACATGATATTCAGTGACACTGAAGACCGAGGGGATGCTTTCAGTAAAAGAGCTTGACCTAACACAAGGACCTGTGCTCCAACTCCAGGACCCGCATATAAACTGGGCGTGGTGCTGTGTCCTTGTAATCCCAGTCCTGGGGAGCTGGAGACAAGCAGGTCCCTGAGTTCCGAGGCCAGCCAGCCTACTTTACTTGTTGAGATCCAAGCCAGGGAGAGACTTGTCGCCAAAAGAAGATGAGACGACAACTCACAGTGGAAAAGATAATTTGGCTCAGACTCAAAGGGTTGAGTCAGCTGATGACCCAGTGTGATTTTTCTGCCGCCGTCAGAAAACACTGACCAAGAGCAACTTAGGTGGGGTGGTTTGAAAAAGAATGGGCCCCACAGGCTCATAGAATTGAATGCTTGGTCACCAGGGAGTGGCTCTATTAGGAAGATGTAGCCTTGTTGGAGGAAATGTGTCACTAGGGTGGGCTTTGAGGTTTCAGAAGCTCAAACTAGGCCTGGTGGCTCATAGTTTTCTCCCTGCTGCCCATGGATCAAGATGTAAACTCTCAGTTACCTCTCCAGCATCGTGTCTACTTGCCTGCTGGCAGGCTTCC